CATTAGTTAGTTTGGAACTCTTAAGATATGATTCTTCTACAGTGCTAAATCAAAGAACACTTTACATCTTTTTTCATGATCACATTCAATATAAACAGCTATACAGACAACAGCTCCTTAGTAAAACATTAGCAATAAACAAAACAGGCTACTTACATTTGAAGGCTTAAGTTTATTGATGATTGTTGTTTTGCCACTGTTGTCCAAACCAAGGCACAAAACATGAACCTCCTTTTTCTTCAGCCCAAGCCACCCTGCTAGCTTGTCAAACAGTCCCATGGTTCTGGGTCAAACACACACGGATCACCTGTTGATCAGACGATACGAGGAGGGAATAGCTGTTGGAAAAGGGCGATGCAGACAGCAGCACTGGCACAGCAAGTGGGCATGTGGATAAGAAGCCCTTACACTTTTCAAAAGGCAGCAGCAATAAGACTCTGCACAAACACCATCGCAGCGGGTTCCCTCACTATGCTAAGCAAATGGAGCATAAGCTGATTAAAGCCAAGAAGCCCTCGCACGAATGAGATTGGCTGCTTATAGCCCTGTCTATGTAAAGGCACCGTCCTCAATTCACTGGACAGCAACTCTGTGGTGCTTCCAAGCAACTCCAGTAACGGCACCATGCCAACACCTCCTTACCTGCCTCTCAATCCACAGAAGGAGAGTAAAGCACATTGCACTTCAAACCGCCCACAATCTCTCAGTCATCATACCTTACACAACAAAGCAAAACAATATCTACCTTCCTCAGCACCTGCTAATGTGAGTTGCTGAACCTGGAAGCAAATGGAGTGCACTCTGTCAATTCAATTCAAACTCTAATTGTAATGGGCTTTGTCGACGTTAGCACGTGTCAGTTGAGATCCCATAAGCCACAAATAGAAGCTCTGATCAGGCCAGGTTTGGCACACAGCAAGCCAGACAATGCAGCATCCCCCTGCGTGTCACCTGGAAGCCAAAGCCCTGCTCCTGCCCTAAAGTACAAAGCTCCTGCCATGATGCTGACCCGAGTCAGTGGGCAGCTGTACTCCAGGAGCTTCCATCATGCCTCCCACTGAGTGCCTGGCTGTGCACACTCTGCTAAGAGGATAAGCCTCGTCTACCCCAAATCAAATCCTCTGAGAACAACTTCCTCTATGAGCTGAAATCAAACAACCGTGACACATTCAGTAACAAGGAGACATTTAATTAATACCAGAGGAAGCTGCTATAACCTAGAACACCTTTGTTGCAACAGATTAGAGAAGCCTGATGTTACCTACAGCTATACCCTCAAAGAAAAAAACTCATGATTAGTTTCCTTCTAACTCCACTTACCTTATGTCCAACTCCTTATTTTAATATACATACAAACACTGAAGGCAGATTAAAGCTTACTGTTTATTATCAAGTAAACCCCAGCTTGAGAATGCATTTCTTTCTTGTCCAATCTGGAGCTTCATCTATAAACTCTAGAGGTAAGATCCACAAAATAAAATCACAAAGTTTCCAATAGGAAACATTCCCCAACTGTTCTACATTTTTGAGCTGACTTGCTACAGCCTGTAATGCGGAGATCAGCCCAGTGTTAATCGCTGGGTCAAGCAGCAGCTCTCCAAAACATGTAACTTCAAGTGCAGAAGCTCCTGTAAAGTATACAGAAGTATAAAGTACAAAGCTCTGCTAGCTAACCACAACTGAAGACTGCAGAACCGCGTGGAAAATGCTGAAGGAAGACTAATGCAAGAAGAGGAATTATATTTACGTTTTCCATTGCTAAATATTTCTGTCTGTTCAAAACTCACCGCCTGCCCCAGTAAGACAAACTTACTCCGGGCAACCTCACACATTCACTCTGAGGCCTGGGAGGACAGCAGACATCAGAGCTGGGAAGGAGAGAACCTCGCAGCTACACTCAGAACAACCCACCACAGCTGTACGCAGCAGCTGCGTGCTTCAGCGGCACGGCTCAGACAGCGCTACCGACGACGGCGGGCAGCGCTTGCAGCTTCCCACACAGTGAGGGCAGAGCGGCCCGGCACGCCGCTGCCAAACCCACCCCTCAGCACAGCTCTCGATCGGAGCCTCACGGATAACAGGCAGCGAGTGCGAGCCGCCGCGCCCCGAGAGCAGCCCTGAAGCGGCAGAACCGAGCTCCCTCCCTTTCTCTCATAAAAAACTAACCCATCCGACCCGCCGGCACGCACAGCCTCCAAACCCCCCCCCGCCGCAACCACACACCTCGGCCTACGAAATGTCGGCCGGGTTCAGCCCCGCCGCCGCCTGCGCCGTTGCCGTGGTAACAACGCCGCTTCCGGGGAACTCCCGCAGTTGGCGCCGACTCAGCGCCATTCAAAGCCCCGCCCCGCGGAGCCGCCTCGGGTTGCTTTCGGTTTTGCGGAGTGACTTAGCGCAGCTATGCGTAGTGGTTCTAGGTTTGGTGTACAGGCTTAAGGTGGCTTAAAAAATGTGGCAGATTGAAACTAAAATGCAGTCTGTTTCCTGCCGTGTACCTCCCTTTAAATGCCATAGCTGACCGGGTGTCCGCCACCTCTCTGGGCAGCCTGTACCGCTGCCTCACCACCATTATTGAAAAATACCTTTTCCCTCTATATCTCCCCTTTTTCAGTTTGAAACCATTTCTCCTTGTCCTGCCACCACAGACTCGGCTAAAGAGTCTGTCCCATGCCTTCTTACAGCCCCCCTTCAGACACTGAGAGGCCACCAGGGCTATCCTTAGGAAGTCTCATCAGGCTTTTAACTGGACCTGTAGCACGAGTTTCTCTCCCCGACTCACTTCGGTTCAAGGAATCGATAGGACTTAAAGATTGCTAGTGTTCCTCCAGCGTTCAGGTTGATACCCTCCACCGCAGACCTTAATGAGACCCTGCAAGGTCAGGAAGAAATGGATGCTGGGAAGAGCTCAGCAGTTGATCCCATCCTTACTTTTCACAGAAGTAGAGTGGAAGCCAACACCTCAGACCCTTTCAATGCCCTTGCTACAATCTATGATTTCTGTGCTGCCAGATATAAAACGTCTCTTTGGGTTTGTATTTTACTTTTAAACAAAAGCGAAGAGTGAGGGGTAGACAGTACGGTTCTTCCCCTGTATCCCAAAATGTCTGTGCTGTTCCTTGGTTTGAAGAGGCAATTTTCCTTCACAGAACTTCATCCCTCATTGCAATAAACTGTAATCTAGTTTCACCTGTGCTTTCAGACTACCTTTTATCCTAACTGGTGCCTTGGGGAGAGTAGGAGAGTAGGAGTAACAGCTGTTTTGTAGTGATGCGTACAGCCCTTAAAAACCAGCTGCTTAAAAATCTTTCTAGTCGTAACATGCTTCACATTAAACTTGAAAGGTTAAACATACTGCTGACATGTTGTCTGTTGTTTGGCTTTCTTATTCTCATTGTTGCTTTTATTATTATTAAAGGTCTGGGGTAAACGGCAATTGTGACTTGCCCAAGCTCAGAAGGGTTTTGATTGAATGATGAGATCCCTAATAATGATGAGGTACTCAAGGAAAATCAAGTGATATAAATGTCACATTGAACCTCTGAGTCCAAGCATTTTCCAAAGGCTAATCAGGTAGTGGGAGTGAGTGTATTAGAAGGGAGTTTCATCTCCTCCTTGTTTTATAACAAAATAAGTCTGTATATAGAACTAGTTCTAAATTCAACAGAGATGAGAATAGCAAAGGCATTTCTGGAGCCAAATCTAAAGTGAAATATTCATTTTTTGTTGCATCCCAAGTAAGAAAACTCTTCCCCTGTAAAATATGCAACATGTAATAGATATTGGACCTATGACATTCATTTTCTATTAATATACATATAATTCTGTGGGTCTTGTATTGCATAAATATGACATTGTGAAATGAAGGGTTAATTGTCCTCTTGAGGCTATATTCTGATTATTTTGTATGGGACTCTACTTCCCTGAGAATCCCTGTCTCTTACCTTGGTATTACTTACATAATAGCACTGTAAAGAGAGTGAACAATAATGCAAAATCTTTATAGCAAATTAAAATCTTTTTAAAATTCAGCTGGGTAGTGTTTCTTAAGCAGGGAAGAGTGCTGTTGTTTGAAGCTTTTAAGGTGTACAGTATTTCCTAACATTGTTAACTGTATATGCATTTTGAAAAAGTGTACATGAGTGTACATGAGAGCGTAAGTGCTCAGTGGTAAGCACAGGAGAGGCCACTATAATTAAGCATTCTTTTGCTGCAGAAAAAAACACAACAACCTGAAGCATCTCAAGTGTTAGAACATATTGCTGGTCCATCTTTATTAGTACACCACCCTGTGTTAAGCAGCTGTTTTTTTCCTTTTTTCTTTTGCATGATCATATATGACAGGCTTCACTGTGTATCATTATATTAATAACCTAAGGCAAAACAAACACCATTAACTCAAAAATAACCACCAGTACTGTAACTTTTATTTGCTAATAAATATCTTAATAAACAGGCTTACCCCATCTGTAAGACCTGATAATGCCTCTTAGGAAATCATAGAAAAATAAAATACAATAATAATCAGTAACTTGTACTTTGTACAAAAATCTTATTATGTTGCTCAGCAGGTAGCTTTGCCAAACCCCATATTCTTTCTGCAAAGAGATGGCATATGTAATGCAATTCACCTTAAAAACACTCTAATGTTGAGAGCTGAGCATTCTATCACACTATTAACTCGTAGGCATGCCAGCACATGAGAATTTACATGGAACATCATATTATCATAGGAATAGAATTAAAAAATGGTAACGCCACTTTTCAGAAAATAATAACTTCACTTGTAATGTGAATTCCCCTTGGGTCTGCAAAATCAGTATATTAAGGTTTCTATTTCATGGCTATTCCTGCAACTCTGTTATAAACCGGCTAAAAGACAGAAAGAAAAAATGTGCTCGGAGAGTGTGTGGGAGATAAACTGCATGAAAAAAAGGTTGTTCTGAACAGTGGGGCAGTCACAGTACCAGCTATGGAATGTTCAGTCTCTCAGAATTAGTAGATCTTGCCTGCTGTGTGCAATGCGACACAGGTTCAGACTGATGAAGATACAACGCAGAGGCACAGTGCCAAGGTTGCTTTTCTGTGAGATGGATGGTGAAGATTCACTTACAGGTAGTCATCATTATTCAAATATGTCTTCGTGAGAATAAAAAAAGCAGCTGAAAAACAACTGTGATCTGGGGTCTCGAAAGAAAGAGTGGTTTCTGAAGGATACAGATAAGGATATGAGATCTGAGCTGAGGCCATGGTTTGTCTGTAAAATGTTTTGCAAGTATGATTATACTGTTAGGTTTGAAGCCATCTACCTTTAAAACTTTGACATGGCTGCTTAAATACACAATGTGTCCATCATCAAATCGTTATTCATATATACACATACACTGATACATTTTATGGCTATGCTAGAACAGCAGACTATGAAGAGCAGTCATATTCAGTTGTGTACAATCTAATTTCACAGAAGAGATCAAAGCTCCTTTAATTGATATACGTTTAAAACCAACACAGAGAAATAGAAGCTATCCTGAGAAGACATACTGACCACATTGTGTCCCAAGAGAAATAAAAGCTGATTTTTGGAAGGTAAGCAAATATTTTTCTCATTTTGTTTTTGTTTCTGTTTTTTTTTCCTTCTCCTGCAAATGAAATTTAAAAAAAAAAAAAAAAAAAAAAAAAGATGAGAAAGTGAAAATAGTTGACACTAACTTGGTCAATGAAGTCTGATTTGCCAGAAAACAAGCAATTGCCATTCAGTAAATATAGTTTCATATGATCTTTTTTAAGCCTTTTTTTTTTTTTTTTCCTTGTTAAATTGCAGAAGCAATCCTGAGGAGTGCAGAGTACCTGCTTTTGTTACTGAAGTCTATAGGAGTTGTACTGCACCAAACAAGAGCAAGCCTCTTTCGTTAGTCTTTGGGTTTTCAATCGTGGCAGCACCATGTATGATGTAACTGATACCATAAGGGAATTTTGACATCGGAACCATGGCCTTAGGTAAGAATAAAAGATACTGAAATACCGATTGAGTCCAATTCTTTCACCATTTAACCAATAAACAACTCTTCCCACTCCTGTCTGAAATAGCTTTCTTCCTCATGGAGACAAGTCAGAAAAAGAAATTGCTGTAGAAGATATGACATTAAAAATATATATGACCAATTCAAACCTAACTATTTCTTGGGGAGAGGCTGATACAGAATCATGGCCATAAGTTTTAAAATGTTTGTGTTTATGTGTTGGGCATTTTATAGTAGCATACTTTTCTTGAAATATGGAATTAATGAAAAAGTCCAGTAAACAGTATGACTAGGAGGGCATTATTTATTTTATTTACTGCTGTGCCGTTGATTAAGGGGCAAATATCAGACCTTACACTGCATTGCACTAGGAATGTGAAACAGAGTTTGTTCAAAGTGGAAAACAGCGAGAACTGCTATCATGAAGGGGAGATCATACTGCATAATGCTGCATGTTAAAGAAGAAAGGAGGGACAAATCCTGCAGATAGAAGTTGTATTCTTTGTTGATGGGGAAGGTGGTTTTATCCTGGATTTAAATCCAGCACTTTGGGAAAATACCCAAGAAAGAAAACCATTTCTATTACAATTCTGTTAGATTACTATGTTTGTTTTACTTACTCCAAACTCAGTGATGGTAACTCGTTCCAGATAAAACAGCAAGTGTGTTTTGTATCTTGTTTGCACCACACTGAAGGTAACCATAGTCTTTTTTGACATATTCCTGAGGTAGCAGCATTGTCTTTTAAGATCAGTGCACTCTTTCCCCTTATTAAAGTAGGCCATCCATCCCATACAAATCTTTGGAAACCCTTGGTCCAAAACCTTACTACAGTCCATTGATAGCTACTTACGGATTTAAGTGATTTTGGATCATGCCTCTAATGATCAAGCTAATCTCAACCTGGAACTGAAGAAAGAAATTAAAACTCGTATAATGTTTTAGTAATACATTTGAATGACAAGACAGCATGCATACTGATAAATGTTGGTTTTCCAACAGCAAATCAATTGTGGCAGTAGTAAAATGCAGAAAGGGAGAATTTATTAGGAAAGCTGAATCCAACAACAGTCTCTATAAGACAGGGCCTGATCTTACTGACAATGAAGCCAGTATCAAACTCCTAAGCCACTACAGAACAGTGCCTATGAAACAATGAAACTAATTCCTCACACAATTACCTAATTGTCTCTGGAATTAATAATATATATATATATATTAAAATCCTTCATCAGAATGTGAAAACAATAGGTAATCTAGAGTAAAACCTTCTCAAGACAAAAATGTAATTGTGAAGTTGTCATTTAGTAACTAAAAGAATCTATAGATTTGAAAAATTGGCTACAATTTTTGTCTTTTTCGTCTAATCTTATATAGCACTTAATGAGATGGCGATGTAAGTTGTATGAATCAAAGAATTCAGCCTGATAAAAGATGTTCTTGCTTTGCTTTTTCTTTTTTGCTTCTCACTGTCACGTGGAACTCGGTCTGGAAGAAACTGAAAATTTGATGCGTAAGCAGCACTTAGTTGGACAGCTCTCCTTTTACTGTTTTTTTTAGGCTCTTCTCAAAAAAGCCAATATGCAACAAGAAGAGAAATTAGTCCTTCAGTTATATGTTTAGAAAATAAAACTGTGTCGACTGGAAGTTCTAACCTGAATTATGACAACTGTACTTTTTTTTCTTTATCATTGGCTGGACCCTGGAAAACCAGCAAATAGGTTTATTTATTTATTTATTTATTTATTTTGGTCACTGCTCTAGGGGACACTCAGAGCCTTTTGCTGAGCTGATACTATGAAAATATTCCCTTTATTGATTCAATGGGCAATTTTTCACAATCAGAAATAAATAACTGGATTCTAATGCAAATGTTCCCCAAATCTGATTTTCCAGATTCTAGCGGTAAGGTTACTCTCCACACAAGGCTCCAGGCACCGCAAAGTTCACAATACAGACGGGTAGATTTCTTTGAGATTTTGAGTTATCATTCCCAGGGTTTTGCCTTATCTATGTGCTTCATAGCAGTTCTTTGCTGAGTTGTCAATAATGACAAGTATTAGTATTTATGAAGTTGCAATCAGCTTCCATGTTAGAGATGAATATTCCCCAAAACTTGTGTGAAGCAGGAGGTTTTCCCATAGTAACAACGAATATGGTGAACTCTCAAGGGAACCATATGTAGAACTGAATGTAAAAAGGATAAAATTATGTTATCTCATTCTTCCTTACAAATATACTATAAGGGCTTGGATTTGCAAGCATTTTGTGCCTAACCCTACTCATGTAAATAGTTCAATTTCTAGTCAGCCTCTTTATCTGAATTAAGCCACACAAGCACTGAACTCTTTACATATTCAGGTGTTTCTGAACATGGTACACTGCATACGTTATTTCTGGGACACACGTTTAGTTACCAACTAGTCAAGTACTCTTGGATACTGAGACACAGTTGAAAATTTGGGACATGAACAAAGCAGAACAGGTGAAAGCTTGAAATGCTTTTGACATTGACCTTATTAATACACTTTTCCACATCTTCAGTGCCACGACTTAGCCTTATTAAGTTCAGTTTAATTAGACAGGTATGAAAAATCAGACAATATGTTAACCCCTTGTGGAAGAGAGATGTACTTGTGAAATCTCCTGTGTGAAAGGAGAGTAGGAAATACTGATGTAGAATATTCAAAGAAATTTGCACACAAATAGGATTCACGATGTGAACTGGTGTTATTTCACATATAAAATATGGAAATTTATTTTAACCTACTTATTTCTACCCTTCTGTTCTTACATTCATCTTTTTTTGTTTTTCCTTTCTAAAATTCAACATATCTTTTTATAGTATATACTGGCAAATCATTACTTACATTCCTTTGAATTTTTCCTCTATTTTCACCTCAAAAGAGTCCATAAAAGACTATTTAAAAGAAAATCATTTATATACTGTTCATCTTTGGTGACTTCAGCAGAGGTACTCAAACTTTTTATAAGCATGGACTACACTGAACTAAGAAAGATTTTTTCTTTCTTTCTTTTTTTTTTTTTTTTTCTGCCTGTGAAGGGAGGAAGAGAGAGGCTGTCATCCATTTTCCAGATAACAAGCCAAGGAAGTTTGGGAAGTTAACAATTTTAAGTGCCAGTGGAGAAGATCAACCCTATTACCATTATTGAGAGCCAGATAATTTATGTACGCTTGAAAAATCTCAGGCATTATGATATACGTTATATTTACAATTCTTTATATACACATCCACATGTTTTTTATATCCACTATGTACTCAGTATGTCCTAGTCCATAATCTGAGGATCTATATACAACCATAGCATTCACAGATGAGATGGTAGAAGAGATCTGTGGACTCTAAATACATGAAACTGTTTTTGTGCCATTTCTTTTGTTTTTGTTAGAACTCCTTGGCACGATATAGAAAGTTTTCTTTCACCTTATTCTAACCTTCTTAGATTTTTTTTCCCCTTTTCAGTACTGATTCATTTGTCTCTCTGAGAGATTTCAAGATCACTGTAGTACTTGGTGTTAGCCCAACTTAACAGATCTCTTCCTTATTCTTTAAAAAAAATAGTACTACTAATAAAGAAAAAAAAATATTTTTGCAATTTGCTCGGGAAAGATCAATTACAGTTAGGGAGCAAGGGCATTCCGAAAGAAACCTGTTTAACACAATACAATACTCTTCAACCATGCACAAATGCCATGATAAATGATGTATTTCAATTTCTAATACTTTTCTTAGAAGATGCAATAGACCAAATTCTTTTCATTAATATTATTTTGTTACTATAAAAGGTGAATCTGCATTGAAAAAGAACTTAATGGAGCTCAGAATTAGGTTCAGCGTATGTATAAAAATGGAAAACGAATAGCGAGTCTTAAATTACAAAAATTAAGTGGTACAGTTTGAATCCTGTGTCAGAATAAACCATCTTCTGACACAGAATGCTTTGTCCAGAGCAATTAAGTTACTTGAATTACTTGCTGAGTGTACTATTTCCAACTGTAAGATAGCCTGATGCTGATGTATTAAAGCATAGCACGCACCTAAGCTTTCATTGGACAGACATTATGCTGTTTACACACTTAATGTCAACATCAGCATTACACATGGTGTCCTCTCTTTTTCAGAGGTTCAGCATGATGACTAGATACAATCAGTGCACAAGATTAAGAACAGATGCCTGGATCTGGTATTAGATATGGAGGTTGGCAGCCACTGCAGCAGGTGGGTTGGAGCTTTATGAACCTTAAGGTCCCTTCCAACCCCAGCCATTCCATGCCCCTATGCTTCCTTCTCTGCTTCTATAAGCTGAGTTAGTCATTTTGTCTCAAGTGCTGGTTTGGCACATTTCTTCTCACCCAAAAGTTAATGATTACATCTGTCAGATGACATTTACCACTATGTGAATACTACAAGGGCCCTGTTCTCTTCACTAATTAAATGGAACCTAAGATGACTAGCTCAAATGCACACCTCCAAAGTTAGGTGAGAAAAAATTTCCCCCTAATAGGTCTTGGGGTTCTGAGTTTCCATCAGGTGGGCATGGCTTGAGTTTCCATGTTAGACTGATGACTGACCCACTTGGCTGCAATGAATATCTAAGCTGCTTGTCAGTCAACTTAGGAAGCACAGTGGTTGACACATGATGGACAACTGGGTAGTGCACTTATTGACCAAGAGATGCTAACCCAGTTTTCCTGCCCAGCAGACAAAGGCCCTCATTAAAGCTATCTTCTGAAGACTTAACTTGTACCCAGGTAGTGATAACAGAACAGATGGATTTGTTCTAGATGCATGACTACCACACCTGTTAGAAAAGCCTGCGCATGGATATCACTTGTAAATAACAAGCTTGGAACTATTTCCTTATGTCCACATTTTAATCAATTTTTAGGGGGCTTGTATATCATGCAGTCTTTACTTCATGAATTTTCAATGAGTACTTTTAGTCATGAAACACCGTGCAATGTCGGCCAGATTTTCAAAAGCAGATTTCTAGATTTACTTGAATTTGTTAAATTTAATCAGTAACTGCACACTACGATATACAGGTTAATTAAATGGTATAATTTTCACCCGAAGAAAGTATTCCCTGCAATAAAGAAAGTTGCTTGAATTTCACATTTACACTTGTGGCTTGCACAGAATTGAGCTCACATTTGAAAAAACAATTTGAAAAAAGTTTTTTTTGTTCTTGTTTTTGAATGAACAAAAATATAAACAGCCGTAATGGTAGCACTTTCCTTTGTGCTGAATAAAATGGAAGAGTAGGGTTAGAAACATAACAAGAGCAAATCAAACATTTCCAAAATGGACTAAATGTAAATTTGATCAGAACAACTATTATAAATGTGTCATATTGCACCACCAAAACAAAAAGCACAAACCATATAAACCCCCCAAAAATCCTGCATTTATAATGTTTTTAATAAAAGGTCTCATTGAAATCCCTTCTTCTTTTCTTTCTGGTTACCCAAATTCTTATTCATATAAAAAATAGATCTGATTAATAAATGTTTTTATATTGTTATTATATATTATTTGAAAATATATTTTCAGTAGCATGATAAATTTGGAAATTAACTTCCATGAAGTATAACCAGGTTGTGTTCATGTAACGTACAGCTTTGTGTACGCACTACCAAGAATGAATAAATTTTCAAACAAGAATTTAAAAGTGCATTTATGGTCTGGTCTAGTTATGAGCAATTTTGAAACTCTATTAACAAATAACAGACTCATATCTCTTCAGTAATAAATTCAAACGTGACAGCCTCCTTTCACAGATGTCACATTAATGGCCATAAAAGCAATGACTGGCATACTAGGAAATGAAATGAAGGATGTTGAAGGAGGGAAGATTTAGGTTGGATGTTAGGGGGAAATTCTTTACAAGGAGAGTGGTTAGGCCCTGGAACGTGTTGCCCAGGGAGGTTGTGGATGCCCCGTCCTTGGATGTGTTCAAGGCCAGGTTGGACGGGGTCCTGGGCAACCTGATCTGAATGTGTATGTTTGGTGGCCCTGCCAGGCAGGGGGTTGGAACTACATGATCCTTGGGGTCCCTTCCAACCCGGGTGATTCTGTGATTCTGTGAAATAATAAAGAAAAAACAAATCTTAAATTACTCTGTGATGTTGGTTTTTTAAAAGGCTTAAGGTAGGCATGATTTTATTTCTCTAAGGGCACCCTTGAAAAAAAAAAACAAAAAAACAAAAAAACACCTAAAAACTCAGATTTGGAATTGGGGCAGAATTTATCAGTCTGAGGTCAGTGGGACTACCCATGCTGATAAAATTTGTAGCTAAAATAAGACTAGCACTGCCCCTCTTTAAACATGCTTATCAACTTGACATCATAGAACACTGGTGAATACTTACTTTTAGAAAACTTTTTCTTCAGTTAAATCTGTTGTTTTGTTGTTTTTGTTTTTTTAACAGAAGAAAGAAAAATTTCTGCAGTTCACTATTTGTATCCATTTAAATTAATGAAATTATTCTAACATAAGGTAACAACAGTGAATCAGGCCTAGCATGTCTTAACTTTGTGAACCAGCTGGAAGCCTAATCTTTTTTGAGTTGCTTTCTGCTTTTCCTTCTTTGCCACCAGCATACAACAGTAGCCTTTCTGAGAGTCAGGAAATACAATTTGACTTACAAGCTGTAAATTAAGCACTAAATATCATTATGATTACATAATGTAGTTAATTCATTTTGATATACAAATATATTATAGTAATTACCCAAATGCGCCATTTAACTGAAGATTTGTAATCTTTAAGTATATTGAAATGTCATGTAACTTGGGAATGTCCTCCAAACTATGTATAAATTAACAAAAACCCAGTTTACATGTGACATGCATGTAGATCTGCGCGTGACTTCTCCAGTTCGCAGACATGCGCTCGTGTCCCAGTTTCTAGCAGCACATATCTCATGCAAAAGTTTGGAAATGTAGCCCAGCACATCTGTGTAAGTTGCATGAATAAAACATGAAAGCTGTAAATCTTACAGAGGTATAAATATTATGTTAGGCCTTTGCAGCCATTTTTCTTGCATGTAAATATGGCTATTGAAGAGTTCTAAAAGTAATTATCTTTGATATTGTTTCGGAACTTGTACTAAATGAAGACCTGGCCCCCACAGAAACCAGAACTCCATTTCAGCAGTCTGCTTTTCACTTCTAAAAGCAGTTAGAAGTAGACTCAAGGCAACATATTAATACACTGCTGTCCTATGTCTCCTTTTCTGCCTACGTATAATAAAACTGAACACCACAGAGCGTAACTTCCAGCATTAGTTTGTGGCTTTACCACTATCTTCAATTGGATGATGCTACGGCCGATCTGCTCCAGCACCCTACTGATGATTGACCCTCTAAATCTACTACCACTGGTGGAAATGACAGTTCAACTTGTGGAGGCCTACATTTTTGGAACAGAAAACTTTCTGAAGTCTATGTGACCACAGTATAGCGGACAACCATGTTTTACATGCAGTTATGGAAACATTACATCCAGTCTTCCGGTGACAATTTACCATGGAATAGAGGCAAATGCTGACTATTAAAAATAAAATAAAATAAAAAATCTAGGGCTGAATAAATATTTTGACCTTACCTAAAATTTAAAGCATAAAAAGTGTCGAGTGCTAACATAATTCAGAATCAAGGACCTGAAGACTTCAGCCAGATTTCTCACTATCCTCCCAGTTCCAACACAATGAAAATTCACTACATAAAATCATCAGTCATTTTTGCAAACAATGTTCACATTTTGAGGCACCGGCTTACCAGCATTTAAACTATTATAAAGTAATATAACCATAGGACCCATACATTTTGATTTAATTAGAAGATAAAATAAATATTTATGTGAAACTTCTTGATTGCACATTTGGTATTGGAAGTTACATGGTCACAGAACATGAAAGAAGTCAAATACGTTTTGATCTACCAGCAAACTCTAAATACATCGATAAAGAAGCCACACCAGGCCAAACGGATTACTACTTTCCAGTAAGTTTGTGAAAGTTTCCCAAGTACTGTTATACAAAGTTACACATCCATGCTGAGTTGCTGAGTTATTATTCATCAATGTGTAGCAAGTCTTGCAGTAGGTCAGGATTTTATTGGCAGATAACTGACAGAGGAACTATGCAGTGTGATTAAAAATTCCAGTTTGGAAGCATTAACGTAGAAGTACTTTTGGAGTCTAACCAGGAGACTGCAGTTCTTGAAGTTGAGAAAAGCAGAAGGGAAGAATGAGAATATTTTTCGTTTTAGAAATGCTGAGGCACAAAACACAGTTGATTATAGTACTTTCATACATGAAATCCTTTCTCCTGTATGTGCATCATGTGTAATCGCAAAGTCTGTAAACTGCTGACTATTCGTCTCTGGTGTCCAATGAGTACAACTCCAATTCTTCTAATGTCACTGCAAGATAAAAAGTTTCATCATGGATACAAGTATAGTAAGAACTCTAGCACACAAAAGCATATAAAGATACGATGAATTGCTCTGCTTAAGGACAGTTTACTTCCACAAGTGGAACATATGTGAGTGCTGCAGACACTGAGTTTTCTGCATCTGTCAATTCCAAATTTTGAACAAGTGCCATTTGAGAAAAAAATACCATGTAGTCAAAGCACTGCCATTTGTTCTGAAAGTAACAATCTAAATCAGGCTAATAATTTGTAGAGCTTGAGAAAGCACCTTCAAAGTGTGCTCTGATAGCCGTTTGTTAGTAATATGTTAGCAGCAAATGTTCCACTCATTATTACACAGGACCAAGGCTGGTATACTCACTCTTACAGTCCTGAGGTTGAATGAACTGAAGGTATGCTTCTGATGATCTGGGGAATGGTGGTGTTTGGCAGTTCTCTGAACATCACTAACTACAATACACTGAGGAAGATCACAGAGGTGGCAAGGGCAGGAAGCTTCAATATCATCCTGTCAATTGCACAAACCCCACAATAGGACATGGCATTGACATTGCACTGTTTAGATAGCCTTAAAAATTGTTTTATGATATAGGTGATAAAGGAGCCCATGGTTGGAGGCATGACCCTTCTGAGCTTCAAATTTGCAGGTTAAGATACTCCATATCCAGCAGATGAAGAGCCACTAGATAGCAGCAACTGCTGTATGTTTAGGCTTAACATTCTCATGGGGAATAATACACAACACTTAAGACCAGCAGGGACTGTGTAAAAAATACTGAACATCTTAGAAACTAAAAAGAAGCAGCTAGGAGAATAAACTTTTACAGGTGGGGCAGTGATAGAAATGCAGGAACAGTGCATAGTGCTTATCAAGTACAGACTGATACAACTCAGAAAGAAGCCAAGAGCCCAAGAGTCAGAAAGGTTACGTGAAGAGAAAAGAAGTTTTCAAAAAGCTGAAGTTATCTGAAAAAAAAAGAAAAAAGAAAAAAAAAAAGAAAGTAGAAAGGATGATAACCTTAGGCAGAGTGCCTGTAAGAGTGCTGTAAGGCAGACAAAACTGCTTGAGGAAAAATCAGCCAAAGTCCCTTAATAATAGAGCTTGTAATAAACTCTTTTTTTTTTTTTTTTTTTTTTTTTTTTTGTAAGCTCACAGGATACAAGAAGCCAGCCAGCGTGTCTGTAGAGTCTAATTTTGAATGCTGTATAAAAGAGCATCAAGAGACTGACCGCTGTCAGGAATGCAAAACCAATTATTTGAGTTGACATTCACTGCAGATGATATTGAGTAACTCACAAGCCAGAGCTGTTATGGGGAATTGTCAGAGGAGCCATCTGAAGTTGAAGTGACTGCAAGAGAAGTTACAGGACAAACTGAAAAAAAAACAACCAGCAATCCAGAACAGAAAAGTATTTAGTCAAGGCTTTTAAAAAAGATGAAAGATGAAATAGTGACAGCAATTTCAGTGAGAAAGAGATTATCAGCTCTGTTACACTTAAAATTTTCTTCATGCCTAAGACATGGAGAGTGGTGTCAAAATTATTTTGGAGACAAAGCAGAGTTTCCTGGAGAGGTCTGGGAAATGCAGACCTGTGAGTCTAAAATCATTACAAGGCACAGTAGAAAATACAATAAAGGATAGAATTATTGAATGCCTGGATAAATGATCTACTTTGGAAGTGGCACTATGGTTTTTGCAGAGAGAAGTCTTGTTTTATAAAGTTGTTTCCTATGGAGGAATCACCACGCACATGGTGAAGTCACCACATGCATGGATGAAGATGACCCATCTGATACACCCCTGGATTTCCAAAAGACTTTAGAGAAGTTTCTCATCAAAGGTATATAAGGAAAATGAGCTGTGTCATAAGAAGCACTTTTCATGAATAAATAACCAGGTAGAAGACAGATTAGGAGTAGGTTGTCAAATTTTACAATGGAGTCATCAGCGAGAATCTGCAGGGCCAATGCTAGGATAATGATGAACATTACTGTTCAACAAGTCAGTAAATGGCCTGGAAAAACAGATGAGCAAAGAGGTGAAAGTGTCAGATAGTGAGATTGAATTATTCAGGGTATCAAGGGAAAGGTAAGGAGTTTTATAAGTTCTATAAGACTATGCCATAAAAAAGTACATGAAATTAAGCATAGGTGAATGTAAAGTGATATGTATGAGAGAAAACCAGTTCTAACTTCATGTGTAAAATTCCTGAATATAAACTGGCCGTTACTACTGATAATACAGATAGCCTTAGCATCAGAAATGAGAATGAGTTGATATCAGTAGAAGCCAGTATTTACACATTACCAGCACTGGGGCTATCATCCAGAGGAGTGCCTTAGGAAATCTTAGATCTTGTATGTGACTTCTGAGTCTCATTATAAGTATTTCGAAGGTGTTTCAGTTTCTTCTCATAACTCAGAAACCTCAATGTTCTTGTCAATAACTGCAGCCATTTACAGTTTTACTCCCACAATATTACTTTGATATTTATAGCTGATACATTCAAAAGAATCCCATTATCCATGCCAAGTGATATTCCTCTGTTTAAGGTAGATAATTCCATACTAGTTGGATTTTTTTTTCCACTAGTGGTCAGGCTTCCCACATCTGCTGGACCCTGAACCTCTAGGTGAGGATGTGGGAACTGGAATCTGTTCCACTGTAACAGTGGAACAAGTCTGAGACTTCCTCACACAATTCAAAGTCCGTATCGTCAGATGATAGCCATCCTAGGGTTCTGAGAGAGATGGTTGGTGTGGTAGCCAAGCCACTCTCCATCATATTTGAAAAATTGTGGCTGTCCAGCGAAGTCCCCAGTGACTGGAAAAAGGGAAACATTATTCCTATTTTTAAGATAGAAAGGAAGACCAGGGGAACCATAGGCCAGCGAGCCTCACCTCTGTGCCTGGGAAGATTATAGAGCAGATCCTTCTAGAAGCTTTGTTAAGGCACATATGAGACAAAGAGGTGATTCAAGATAGCTAGCATGGCTTCACCAAGGGGAGATCTTGCTTGCCCAATCTGGTGGCCTTCTATGATGGTATGATGGAGTGACAGCATCGATGGATTGGGGAAGGGCAACAGATGTCATCATCCTGGACTTCTGCAAAGCCTTTGATGTGGTCCCTCACTACATCCTGCTCTCTAAATTGGAGAGGTACAGACTTGAGGGCTGGGCTGTTTGGTGGATTAAGAGCTGGTTGTCCGGTCAACAGCCAAAGGGTTGTGATTAATGGTTCTGCATCAGGGTGGAGGCTAGTCATGAGCAGTGTCCCTCAGGAGTCGGTCCTGGAACCGGTGCTCTTCAACATCCTCATCAGTGAGGCAGACAACAGCATCGAGTGCTCCCTCAGCAAGTTTGTAGATAACGCCAAGCTGAGCAGTGCAGTTGATACACTAGAAGGAAGGGAAGCCATCCAGAAGGACCTGAACAGGCTGGAGAAGTGGGACCATGTGAATCTAATAAGGTTCAACAAGGCCAAGTGCAGGGTGCTGCACTTGGGCTGAAGCAATCCCAGGTACTTATACAAACTAGGAAAAGAAGCCCTTGTGAGCAGCCCTGCGGAGAAAGACTTGGGGGTCCTGGTAAACAAGAAGCTGAACATGAGCCAGAAGCATGCACAGAAGGCCGACTGTGTTCTGGGCTGCATTAAAAGACAAGTGTCCAACAGGGAGAGGGACATGATTGTCCCCCTGTACTCAGCTCTTGTGAAGCCCATCTGGAGTGCTGCGTCCAGGCCTGGGGCCCCCAGCACAAGAAAGACATGGAACACTTAGAGTGGGAGAACGTGGGCATAGAGTGCTGAGCACAACACTGCTGCACAGCTGCAGAGACAGAACTACAGACTGAAGTCGGAATGGACCTCTGCAGGTCACCTGGTCCGAGAACAACAGCAGGGAGAACTCAACTCATGTTAATCTCAGTTTTACAGTACACAACAGCACCAGCTGAAGTTAGGAGTTCAATTAGTCACAGCCAACACAGGTGCATGAGGGAAAAGTTCTGTTTAGCAAATTCAATTTCCTTTTACAACAGTCCCCATTTAGATGGGGAACAAGGCAGTAGACGTAATTTTTTATATTTCAACAAACCTTTCAATGCTGTTTTTTATCCTTCCGGACCAAACGGGCAGCACACAGCTTGACAAAAGCATCCAGAGGAGGGCTACAAAGATGAGGCACGGTCTGGAGGGCAAGGCATACGAGGAGCAGCTAAGGTCCCCTGGCTGGTCCAGCACAGAGCAGAGGAGCTGAGAGAAGGCCTCATGGTAGCATGCAGCCCCCCCCACGAGGGGAGCAGAGGGGCAGCACTGAGCTCTGCTCTCTGTGACAGCAACAGCATCCTAGAGAACAGCATGGAGCTGCATCAGGAAACTGTTGGGTGAGGATTAGGAAAAAGTTCCTCCCCAGAGAGTGGCTGGGTCCTGGAACAGGCTGTCCACAGCAGAGGAACGGCTATGAACTGCTGGAGTTCAAGGAGCATTTGGATAACACTTTCAGACACAGAGTTTGGATTTTGGGTGGTTCTGTGTTGGGCCAGGAATTGGACTCGCTGGTCTTTTCCAACTCATGATATTCTGTGATTCTATGATCGAGTAGATGATTAGGAATGAATGGGAAGAGAATCAAGAGCAAAATAGGTAGTATCATTATGCTACCATACTAATCCAGAGTTTCTCCAAATCCTTATGTTCTATAGTGTTTTCATTGCAAAATTGAGTGAAACTGAGGCTGGCTGAAGAAAGGCAGCAAGGTATGAAACTGTTTCCACATGAAGAATCACTCGGACTTGACAATATTCATTGCAAAATAAGAAGAGATTCTGCTGCTGATTTCAGTGGTCTGAACAAAAACCCATTTTCCAACATTTAAGGATGCTCACTGCCTGAGCTTTTCAGTGTGCGGTATGGTTACAATTGAAACTATCATTTCTAGGTTTCTTAATCACTACTTTCTCCTATATTGTTTTGGTAAAAACTGTATTTATCTTCTATTAGCTTAGGTAGGAAAAGAACACCTCACAGTAAGTCACTGCAGTACACAAACAAATAGATTAGTCACTACAGAAATAATAGATTGCATACTTACTCAATACTCATTCTTGAAACCATATCCAGAGTTGTGAAACCTGCTGCCATGAAGTTGCTTTTGTATTGACCCATTTTTATGGAGTCCAGCCAGTCACTAACTGAAACAAACAAAGGAAATTCTGGGACTTCACCAGGTGAATCTGGCATTCTGAAGAAATAAGAAGCAAAGGTCACCTGAGCAGTATAAAATTATGCTTGATTTGTTCTGGGAGACATTATTTTTAATAAAAGGCAGAAGGAATGAACAGGGACCCTGAGATGTAAAGGTCAGGTCTTAACTGAGGTTCTCTTTAACCCACTGTCTAAAGCTTATAAATTATATTAATCTATAAATTTGCACTTCTTAAACAATACACTTTTCAAAAGCACTGCAACTCTAAAGCAAACAGGAACAGACCACTCCCAGTGTTCCTACTCTGATCACACAGAGTTCATTTGAAGATCTTATATGTTTCAGGGTGATAACTGCTTGTAAATACAGCAGTCAAATTAGAGAGCAAACAAAATTTAATCTGAGATACCATTTAAAAATAATAACATACTGCAAGATAATTTTTCTGTGAAGTAATAATCAATAGCTCCTTCTTGCTATGCTGTCATACAACAGGAACACTGATTATAGCAGCTAGAAATCTAAACCTAAAAAAGCAAGAATATTTTGTATCTTTTCTTTTTACACAAAATTATACAGAATAGCAAATAAAATGAAGAAGCTAGTTTAGTTTCATTTTTGTTTCATTTCTTTTCTCTAATATTGTACAACTGAAATGGAAATACAAACAAAACAAAACAATGAGGGGACATATTTTTCCACTGTTCCTTTGTCTACCATGCTGATGAGTTCTCAAAGCTTGCACAGACTTTATATTTTGTGTAGAGAAACTGCAAGGAATAGAATGCAGAACCAACACACAGCTGTGTATAAAAGCTTTATGACAGCCTTTAGAAAGCAGATAGAAATTACTTAAAATAATTTCTTTTTCAGCAAAAGCCAGCTAACATTGTCAGATGGAATATAGCTTGCTTATAACACACCTTGGTGCATTAATATGCTGAGTTTCAAGCATATATATTTGAATACATTAAACACATGGATTTTCATTTATATAATCAGAATTACAGAGAGACAGGAGAACTCTATTAGGTACAAGGCTAGTTCACACACTTATAGTGATTTCTTCCCATTTGAATTACTCTATTCCTATAGAATATCTATTAAACTCATAAGTTAAAGTAATGCAATTCAGATTAACTGCATCAAGCACTTTGAAACAAATGCAAAATTTTTCCCAAGGTGAGCACAAGAAGAACTGAACTGCAAGAGAACATTGAAGAGTCTCTGAATCCTGGAAATCTTGAATAATATTTTAAAACAAAAATGAATGAAAAATGCATCATGCTGATACAGAATAAACTGACCCAAGTGCAGTGGTAAGCCATATGCATATACTTACATGCACACATAAAACATACACATAAAACAAGAGGCTACTAAATCTAGCATGTGGACATCAAGCCCTACAAGGCACAGTAGTTTGTGGTAGATAAAACAGACGTAGCCTACTTTTGGCTTTCCTCATAAACACACCCTTCAACTTTTCCCACAGCAAGATTCTAGTCTGAATGTTTTCCCTGTTGCTTATCCCTTTTCCAATAGCTTCCTATAACAATCTCCTCTTGAGGTTCTTAGCAAGACCCAGATGGGCGACAAGAATCCTTTACAAGCCAGGAGATCTCTAAGAAAGTGTCTTCATATTAAGGTGAACTTCAGCTAATGAAGAGAGTGAGGACAGCTGTGACTTCACTGATTTCAGCTGCTACGCATACACAGCTTAGGTCCTTCAGCACATGGAAACTGACAACGTGTTTGACTACAGTTTCATGTCTCCTGTGGCTGTGTATGTTTTTGTAATATCATATTACATATTATTTATTAATATTAGTTAATAAAACTTTGGACAACACTATCAAGAATTTGCTGTGGAAAGGTCATAGTACAATACACCAGTTAGGCACCAGTGTCATTCTTCTGCAGATGAATATAGATTCTAGCAAGCTAACACTGCTTTCTGCTGGGGTTTACTCTAAGGCAGTTCAGAAATTGATAGTACACAGTCTGATGGATAGAAGGTGCTAAATGGAGAAAAAATTGCAAAGAGAAAACAAACATCAGAGAAGCACCAAGAAACTCCACAAAGAGATTCTCAAAGATTAAAGATAGACGGTGAACAAACAGAGCTCATGAAAAGAGAAAAGAAAAAAAGAAAAACGGCCAATATAATCCACACAGCTTCAGAAAAAAAACCACAAAAACCTTTTGCAACAGTGTATTGCAAGTAAAACAAAACTCCAGTGGAGGTCAAAAGTACCCTCATATCACTGTATATTTAGCACTTTGGCACTCTCTCCCACTCCTACCTGAAACCACCTGATGATAGCCACTGTAGCATATGCAAAAGAAGTTACTGAAAAGGGTCTTACACAAGTACGTCCTCCACTAGGGTATGAAGAGTGCTTGGATTGCGGATCAGTTTGTCCAGGAAGCTGACAATATCACTAAATTTTGGACGGTGGTTCCTCTCCTTTTGCCAACAGTGAAGCATGAGCTGGTGAAGAGAAGCTGGGCAGCCCATAGGAGCTGGTAGCCTGTAACCTTCTTCAATAGACAGTATAACCTAAAGCAATACATATGATTACTGAGCATTAAACATTAAAAGGACAGTGTAAAAGTGAAAATTAGAAACCAGTGATTACAATGATACAGACACCCTCACTCATGCATTGCTGGAACTTCACTCAGAAAAACAGGATACTCAGTGAAGCTGATGTTCTGCATAGATGGAGTCAAGGGGAGGATCAGCCACAAAAGTGCACCCCATGATATATGGTGCACGTGAAGCATTCTGTTGGCATATGTAACAGTGGGCTCTTTAGGTTCTCTGAGCATCCCAGAAAAGAGGAGGAAAGATTAAGTACCACTGTCTTCTTCCATCTGCAGGTTGATGTTACAGAGGATGCAGTTATACAGCTACAAATTAACTCCACATCTCCATTGCATAGTGGGGCACTCTGGTATTTGTATCCTGACAACATGGTAACTTGTGGCAGTGTCACAATACAATGAGGCACTGAAAATGTACATTGAAACATCTGGCTAATCTACTTGCTCATCTTGAGAGTATAATTAATTCAGTCAATGTCACACAGAATCACAGCAAAGCACACTATTATTTTGTGCAGTCTTTCTCAAAACAAACAAAAAAACAATCAAAACAGCAACTAGCCAACCAAAAAACTAAATAAAACTCCAAAACTGAATCAACCCCCTGAATATTCAAGTTGCTAGTGATAAAATATATATACACACGTATATATAGTTACCATATATAGCCCAAAGTGAATAAAACTCTCAGATTCAGCAGATATTAAAAGACATGTCTTTGGTCAGGATTAGGAAAGAAACAGACTTATGTCATACATAAAGCACATGCATGAAAAATTACATTTGATTGGAGTCTTGTTTTTAGTAATGTTGGTAATAAATAACATTGTCTGACAAGACAGTAGCAGTACAATAACAAGAAGCAGAACAAAGTAAGGCCCATGAAAACCTGGCAGGATTAATTCTTGTGTAAGTTTTAGAAAGCAAAAGGAAACATTATTAGGTTCTGAAATGAATGATGGCAGCAGTGGAGATGTTGACAGAAATGACAGTCTTGCCTTCCTGTATGTAAAAGAATGGAAAGATTACATACATTGATCAAAAACAAAGTGAAGAAAAAAGCAACCCTGCCCCACACGTTACCCTTCCATATAAAAATACAACTAATGCTAAACATTCTCTAAAATACAAGTGATTCATCACAATATTTATAATAATGCAGTGCACTTATGAGAAACATACCTACTGCATTTATAGCTCCTCTGCTTTAAGGAGGCATTTATCACTTTCACACAGATGCACGTACATGCTGCAGACATATTAATGCAGCTGGAAGGGGGTACATTAAGCTATTTACAGCAAATCAATGTTTTATAGCACTAGCTGTAGCTTCAATATATTCAGTCTCATTATCCCAGAATATATCCTTGTTCTTTTTGAATTCTGAATTAATGTTGTTGGCTCTGTTTACCAATGCCTAGTGCTTATGCTGAAAGCATTATGCAAATAAATGATGGTAATGAAGCCACATTAGGACCTCAGCTCCCCTTTACGGTATGGCAGAGAAAGGAACAAGAATCTTGTAACTGCACACAGTGGGGTGCTTGTATTTGGCAAAATGAGGTGACTTGATCCTACAATACACAGCCTTGTGTACATGGGCAGAAACTTGTACGCATGAATAATGTGTTTCAACACCACGGGAAACTGGGTTTCTACAGGGTAAGTTTCAAAGCCATCAGTGGCAGCACTAGGAATGGAATTTGCCCCAGAGATCTCTGCATTCTGTGCACCTGCGAGTACTGACAGGTTGCATGCACACAGATGGGACTTGCCATGTACCTACAGTGATGATATCTAGCAGTAAATTATAGGGCTGTATGGTGATGCTTCCACCTGCCTTCCTGGCTACTTCTTTATTTCCCCAGGATTTGCTTCAATGCTCCAAAATGTGGGTTCCCAAAATGGCTGCCCTTGGAAAAATCCCACCAGGCTGCCAGAGAAACGTTTTCTCAAAGCCCTCCTACCACTGGATGTGCTCCCAGATTGCTGCTGTTACAGACTCAGGATGGGTGAAATTCAGTCCCACATGCACGAAACGTTATTTGCAAAGCTGTCAAAAATGCAGTATCTCAGGCAAACCGCCAGAAGTGGCTTCATAAAACCCAGGCGCTTATTACACTATGGGGTACAGCTTAGGTGATACTTGTCATTGCCTCTGCAGGAAATGCAGATATCAGAGTCTTTGCATTTAACTCTACCCATTGTAACTGATGCATTTCTGAAATGTTCTCTGTTTTTAAGGAAGAAGAATAGCTTCTCTGCTTCTACGGGACAGACGGCATTTGTTTGACACGACTGTGGAGAATGGAGGAGGATTTTTTTCTGAGATAAATTATTCATGAGGAAAGCAAATGCAACCACAATTTTGCAGACGTTATATTTTCTCTGACACACTCTATTTCACGATATCTTTGAAAAAAGCAGTTGCAGCCCATTTTGTTCCCTCTCCTTTTCAAAAGGAACATTTCAGTATAAAGGGAAATGCCAGCTGTTACTGGAGTAATTATAATTTCTCATTAAGACAAGAATATTTAAAAAATAATCTCCAAATATTGCCTCATTAGTATCCCTTTGAGGCAAGCATTATTTTTAGAGTCAAGGAAGTAGAGTGGATGTGATGAGAGGTGTCAAACACTGCAGTGGGAGTCAGGTGTCAGAGGAAGAACTGTTTAATTCAGTACTCCCTACTCTGCTACTTGCACAGCTCCTATTTCTGAACAGAGAAATCAGATATCCAATCACATGAGAGGAGGAGAAGTATGACATTTTTCTGTGTAACATATGATTATATATTATGTAATCTATCAAGATTATATATTTTAATATCTTTTAAAGGTATTTTTCCTTGCCAGCTTGAAGGCTGAAGAAGCCCCATATGAATCATGAAAGGGGCTCAATGTCTGTACCTACAAGAAGGATACAGCGAAAGCTCTAGCAACCAATGCTAAGCCTCTCAGTGAAGTCCCATCAATTTCAGCCTGAAAGCAGAAGAACACGAGCTTCATTTCTGTACATACCAAGCCCTGAGACTGCTAACAAAAAGGCTTTGTGATGAATGTGTGATGGGAATGAAAAGGAGTAAAATAGTACAATATTCCATAGTCCGATTTGTTTCTTTCCAGTGATGAGGATGTTTAAAACTCATGAGAACATCCGGTGGGTCAGCAATGAGGTGAGAAAAACAGACAGGGTGTATTTATACATGTAGATCTTTTTGTCAGGTGAGAATATGAACTCTAAGGGAAAGGGGATTTTTTAAAGTTAACATAACTTGTTATTTATTTGTTCTTTCATGCTTAGGCTTTTAGGTTTATAAAGGGGAACAGTCTTTTTATATGCACCAATGACATTAATGATCAGAGTTTGTTAAACACGTTTTATTATTTTTTGTTTGATGTTGGAACCAGCTGTGAAGGTTGAACACAATTTTAATACAAAAGTGGTCTGAAAAATGTGCATGGACTTCTACACAAAATTGTATTCTTTAGCTTTAAAATAATTTCCATTTGGAAAAAAATGGCATGTAAAAATAAAGCTAACAAAGCCATAATCTTTCAGATAGTTCCATTATTATCAATAATAAAGACTTTGCTTTTGACATTCAACTGCCAGGTTTTCTAATGGCACAGAGGCAGAAGACGTCCCCAGGGGACAATGTCCCTCTGTCCTGCTGACATCTGAAAAATCTGCTGGGAGAGAGAGGCATCTGCTTGCGCCTCATGGTACTGAGCCAATTCCAGGTGCTGCCAAGTGCTTTGAAATCTGTGGATTCAGGGAAATATTTCAGGGTAACTTACTATTACTACTACAAGAAACTGCCATAATTGTAAGGACTTTCACTCTGTTTGCGACAATAGTTTTCTTGCCTATTGATTGCAATCCATTAAATGTTCTTATTTTATTTATTTATTTATTCTTTTTTTGAATGCCATAGTTCTGCAACATGCAGTAATTTATACGGTGGCCTCTAACAGGTGTCCCGGTAGACTTTACTCACAGCTGTTCTACAAACCAAGTGCATGGAATATAAATCTTCCATTCCTCACATAGGCATTAGCAAGGCAAGCTCTCAGCACAATCTGTTCATCAGTACACTAGTTTCCTTGGAAAGTTCAATATCTTAGCTAATGTTTATTAATTAAGCAATAAGACATGACAGACTGTGCAGCAGCCCTAATTAATGGACATCTCTGGTGCCTGCCACCCATCTAAGAAGTGCATTAATCAGCACCAACACGGGTCTGAAGTGACTTACCACAATAATAAAATGGTTATTTACTCAAACAAGAACATTTCTCAAAGTTAATAACATTTCAAGCCTCTACATTATACTGTATACAGTATTAAAAAATGTATGAGAGACATTTTCAAACTCCGTTGCCTAAAGTTCAGCTTCCAAATCCCTGCTTAGGAATATAAATAGAGGATGCTAGAACTGCAAGGTGTCGAGCTTCTCTGTCTTGCAGTAACCTAATGGGTACCTGTGAACTGCTGCAGTGTCTGAAAATCAGTTTGGGCTTATTTAGGTGACAGGTATGAGCTTTACACTTCTCTTCACATCAGCTTGGACTCTTTGCTATCTGTGCTGGCTCCTCAAGCTTTCATTTCTGTGATGAAGGGGCTACACAAGAGTCCCTTGGCAGAAGCAGTTTGGCCCCTCTCTACTAATCTGCGCGTTTCCCCTCTAAAAGGGGAAATTTAGGTTAGATGTTAGGAAAAAGTTATTTACTCAGAAGGTGGTGAGGCGCTGGCACAGGCTGCTAAGAGAAGCTGTGGATGCCCCATCCCTGAGGCATTTAAGGCCAGGTTGAATGGGCTCTGGGCAGCCTGAGCTAGATGGGGCGCTGGGTGAGCTTTATGGTCTCTTGCAACCCAAGCCACTCTATGATTCTATGATCTGATGGAAGGTGTACTCACATGGCAAGGAGGTGCAGCATCAGACAACGCTGAGAGAACTTCTGCTGCTGTTTCTTCCTTTGGGTAGGGATGGGCATATGATTTGCTACCATTTTATTCATATGAGAAACATACATTTAATTAGCAGCTGCTGCCACTCAAAACATAACTTAGCTGTAACCCAGAAAGTGAACTAATTTCCCAAAATTTTTTAGAGAGAAAAGCAATTTATGAGACAGCATGAGAAAAAATACCCCAGACCTGAGGAGTTTGTAGGATGAAAACTGCTGGTGCTCTACAAAACCCTGCTCAATTCTATAAATAAAGAAGATTTTTATCAAAACACAATTCCCAGAAAATACTAACATGTACTCTTAATATTGAGAGATATTTTGCTGTAGCAGAATGTCGACTATATGTATGCAAGTCCTTACCAACAATTGTTTGTATAATAAGTCTTTTATAAACTTATTTAGTGCATGCTCCTTCCTGCTACTTTCCCTGCCATCTATACAGTATCAGTAACCTTTGGGAAAGTCCTATTATTTCTGCAAAGTAAGCTCATGTGGATTCAGGATAACTTACTGTACTGAAGCACATGCCCCCAAATCCAGCAAAATAAGCTTTACAATACAACTTGAAATTTCCCAATGGCACTTAGAGTCACTGAATGTATTTAGAAAGTCACAGGTACTTGCTGTTAACATTCCAGCAGCAGAAGCCTGTGAGCAGGGCTCCAGAGTAAAGGAGCCTTTTTCACTGTGCATTGGTGAACAGCAGGGAGAGCTCTCAGGAGTCTGCATCATAAGCATAAGCAGCATCCATAGGGTCTACATCACTATTCTGTGCTAACAGATACTTATATTTTGGATGTACACGTGATTAAATGCTGTTATTCTCCTTCTGTAGCAGAATATTTAATATGCCCTAAATGGAGGGGTCATTAATGAATTGTCATGGTTGGCATAGTGTTGAATAAATTGTAGTTTCTGCCAGAAGGAGGAGAACAGGCCTGAAGCCTGATTTAAAGAAAGGGAAAAATGAATTTCTGTGTTGTGTATGACTCTAATCCGGTCACCTGAGTTCTCTGTAAGGGTACTACAAATCACATGAAACCTTCTCTAAAGAGGTGAATAGTAGGGCCATACAGACTTGGGAAAGTTCCCCTTTCCCACTTCTTCTGTACTACTACTGAGTACAAGTCCAAAGGAAATAAGGCCTTAAGTTTTTTAAGTTCCACTTTTTTTCTTTTTAATACACATTCTGAAATGATGCTTTTTTAATGAAAAGCTTTCTCAGATCCTTATCCCCAAATGACTGATCAGCCTTAACAAGCAACCAGACTCCAACAGCTGAATAACTTAACAACAGTATCAAAACAGCCATCTGGGAAAAGTCTTGTCAGCTCTTCAGAACCCATGCAGAGGCACTCTATTCACATAGAGAAGTTAAGATGGGTTGGCTGGTATTTTGCATTCTGACATAAAGGTTGATGGCTGGTGGGAAGAATGACTATGCCAGTTTGAGCAGTGGTACGTATGCATCAGATAACAAAATCAGTAGCAATTCAAACTGTGGTGGATAAAAAGGCATTCTCCCTTTTCTTTTTGACATTAACTAGGACAAGCCTTCAGTGTTACTTTCAGTAGATGTGTTTTAACTGGGAAAGCTTATTTGGCTGTGAGTTCTGCAAACATGTCAGAGGAAAGTATTACTTTGTTAAGAGTAAAGTATTACTTTGCTATTGTCCTGCACTGTAGTTAAGCCTATGAATAGTCTTTAAGGATTTATAACACATTTAATTCTTTAAATTCTTAAAACTTTATAATGTATTTAATTTGTAAAAAGGAGAATTTGCAAATACATTTCTCATGGCAGCTTAACCTTTACTCCTTTAGCATTTATCCATGTGTGCCTACTGAAAGGTACCATCAGAGTATAATGGAGATAACGGACCATATTTATCATCAGAATAGTTCCAGTATTCCCTCAAATTTTGATTTATAGCTTAGCTGAGATCTGTATCAAATTGTATATCTGATGCATATTCCCAGGAATTTGGATGAAAGCCATATATATCTAGCATCAGAGCCTGGCAAGTTGCTTATAACTCTAATATGCCTTTAATCCTTCGGATGAAACTCATCAAGGTATTAGTAAATAGTGGGTCAAGTCTTCAGGTTGCATAGATTAACTGTTCCATTGATAGAGTTACACTGATTTAAATAAGTTCAGGTTCCAGCCTAGAAAGTGAATGAGAAAGCAAAGGAAGGCAGAGAGAGAGACAATTTTTCAAGGAGCATTTCAGCAACATTTGGATTAGTCCTGTAGAGTACTCACATCCTGGTTGGACATCTCCCAGTATGGTCTCTCACCATAGGACATCACTTCCCACATTACAATCCCATAGCTCCACGCATCGCTTGCTGAAGAGAACTTGCGGTAAGCTATAGCTTCAGGAGCAGTCCACCGGATGGGAATTTTTCCACCCTGGAAAATATGATGATAATGTATGAATATGACTGGAATACTGAGTAGCACAAATTTTTAAGAAAAAAGTATCCTGGAAGCAGAGTTCCTACATTCTAGCTTCTGTCAATTTGCCTTGTTAATTTGCTGTGGGGGGGAAAGAAAGAAATGGGCCTTTTTCAGAATTTCATAGAAATTTGGTTTCCTCTGTAGTTTAATTCACCAAAGCCAGCATTTCATGAAAATAATTTAAAAAAAAAAAAAAAGTATCTGTTCAGAGAATAGAAAGCATTTAGATGATTCATGTTTGTTCAGAGCCATATAGTTAGTCAGAACTTGCCTTTTGATTGAAAACTCCCCAAACTGAGATTCCTAATAAATTGACATTTAATCTCTTTTCTCAAGTGAAATAGTGTATAATCAATGGATATTAAGATATTATAATCACAAGAGAATTAGGCAAAATAGACTAGGATAATCAGGAGAATAAATGGAAGGCTTACCTACAGAAAGCACCAGAAGAAGGGATCTCCAGAAAAGATCCTTCCCTACTGGTAGCCAGCTCTTAAATAGGTCTAGGAGCAGCACAGGAGAATTGCCTTCACCTGTGCTCCTCTGGCTGATTCATGGCTCGCCTCAGGTGATCAATCAGAGGTTCAGGCTGTGACTCGGCAGTTCCCATACAAATAGAAATATTTATTACAAAAGCACTTAATAAAATTGTAGAAGCAAAAAGGAAACTATACTCTCCTCTTTTTTATAAAGTCTTTTAATTTTTGTTTGGGCTGTTTAAATGTCTATGTAAGCAGCAAACCAAGCGTGTTTCCAATAGGCATTTTGTTAATGTAAATAGTCTTATTCTGCAGTTTTCAACATAAAATCCACATGCTACCACAAAAATAAGGGTAAGAACTCAATCAACAAACCTGACTCACTCTTTCAGGAATCACCGTATGCAGAGTTTTTCTCTGACATTACTAATTTAGACTGTTCTAGGCTCCCATAACTTGTTCGTATATATGAATACTATTTTTCATTTTCACAACGTTTCTTCTCCGCTCAAAAGTATGTGTTTATTATCATTCTCTGCATAACTATTTTAATCAGTTGTTCCAATTGAGTGAGCAGTGTGCAGAAGGTGCCACTAGATGGTAGGAAGCAGCCAGTGGAGCTAAGTTGCCTTCAACCAGCAGTGATATATTCTGCTCAGTGTTACGATGACATTTCTGACAGAAACAAAAGAAGAAATGAACTAGAACATTGGTTCAGCAGCAAAAGAGAAGCCACGGTTAAAAGCAAGTATGCAAATCTTGGTTAATTTGCTTTGAATACACAAAAAATTAGTTGTCTGGGAACTGGTGAGGCCTGACTCTACGCTGACTCAGAGGACGCTTGTTCTATCAGAAAGTGTTCAAAACCAAAGCTTGGTGGCTGTGGTGACATGCCAGTAAACTAACTTCTTGTCATCAAGTGTCACTCTCTGATAAAAGATGTACAGCTATCATTTATGAGGTATAGTAGTTGTGAGGATAGTCAAGATATATATAGATAGATAACCTCTGTATGAAGTTATACATTTTTCCTGCTCAGCCCCGGTTGACATCAGTGTCAAACTGCCTACTGATTTTAGGAGCAGTAATATAAAGGTAATAATTTTGTATCTTTACCCAAGATTCACCACTGCTCCTTTTACTTTCCTTAGTGCAACAACTGGGTGGCCAGGCCAGATGTGTTGGATGCAAAGACCTCTGTGCCACCTCTGCTGCCACCCCAGAGCAGACCCTGTGCATAATCACAAGAGACGTTGTCCCAAAAACCCTGCATCCCCTTCCTAATCATGTCGTATCAATCCTGGCTTCCAAACTATATAGGACAGCAACGCGAGGTGACTCTGAACCTAAGCTCAGCACGCAGCCCCTCTTGCTGCCTTTTGCTTTATGCCCATTCAAGAGTCTTTCTGGAGTGCCACAGCAGCATTTGAGGGAGGATTCAAAAGAAAAATTTCATGTTTTCTTTCCTCATCACAGTCTCAGGAGATGTAGTACCAGTTTAAAAGATTGTGTTACTGCCAGACTTTCACACCGTTTATCACAACAAACTTACAATGAGCCTACATTTCTACTTTGTGGAGTTTTATTAATCCTTTACCAACATCTGAATTTTAATAAAAAGCTGTGTGTTAGTAACAATATTTACTTTTAGGAAAAATACAAATCTATTCATGCAAATAAAAAAATGTTTGGATGTTAACAAATTTTAATATTCATAAAATCAAACAGATAACATGATACGTGTGATAAATTTTTAAGGTTTTTGTTTTTTTTTTTTCATGAATCTGATTACGTATTCCCAAATTACCCTCAAAAATACATTGCTGTATTCCTGAGCAGTATTTGCAGCTCAGTCTGAGACTGTTGGCTAAATACAAATGAGTTTCAAAGAATCTGACTAGACTCTGCAACTAGTTTCATCACGCAGCTTTACTGACTGATCCCTTTTGGACTGAAACAGCAGTGGCTCATTGAGTGTGAAAATGAGAATGGAGAACAGAATCTTAACAAAATTCACTGCAGTTCATTTCCAAGGGCATAAGATGTGCTCAGTGTTGCAATGTGAAAAAAAAATATTTTATACTACTCCTAATGATAAAAGGAAGCAAAACCTCTTAGATTTTTACAGTGGATTCATCTTCTATATGAAGACATTATATTCATAAAAATGTAGATTTTAATACTTAATTATGTTTGTAGAATGTCTTTTTTATGCAAAAAAGCTTGTTTTATTTATTTGCGAGCCACTCAAAATGCAGAGATTGCAGTATGACTACTTTAAGAGATATGTAACTGAACAGTCGTAAAAGCTGCTCATGAGTAACAAAAGGACACATTAGGTTTAGAGTAGCTGAAAGTATAATTCCTGCACCTGGTTAGAAAATAAGCAATGTTATTGATAACGGACATTTTCTTTTATATGTTAATCTCAATGGGAACGTAATAAATACTGTTTACAAGATGCCTTGCATTCAAGTTAAGATAATTTATAAATTGTCTACATTTTAATACTGTAGTGATACAACGTTTATCAGAAGGCCCTTGTGCATGCTTTTTATGCTTTTTGTGGAGAAGGGGGAAAGGGGCAAAGGGGCAAAGTGTTGTTAAGGCCCATCTATATTTCTGTCTCATCTTATACATTAATAATGACGTTAGTGGCCAGCTGATTTTATTTTCACATAGTAAAAGAACACTACACTCCAATTATTAGAATTTAACCTTCTTATCTGTATGCTGCCTTGATTGCATTTAATAAGTAATTTTACTATGCAAAGTCAAGAATCCCCCTTGGATTTAGAGCATTAGGCTGACACTGCTTTGTGAGTAGAACTGTTTAGAGATTGGCTCTTGGAATGGAATTTGCCCCTCGCCTACCCACACCTACACACGTGCTTTCCCTGCAGAGCTGGCAACAGCACCATTCACCATATGTTTAGCAACAGAATTGGAATTACATGTTACGGAATGCCTTCCTTTGCCTAAAGTCATGCATGGGAGAGACAAGTCTTCTCAACGTGCCATCTCTTCTTCAAGCTTACATTAAGAAAGTGTTTATGATCAGCTCTGTGAAAAGACCCCAGCGAGCAACTGACACTGACACTGTGTACTGCCCAACAGGCAGCCAAGCTTATTCCTTACTCTGTGTTTTTGCCAGCTCCAATTTGATATTTTTATTTTATATGGCTAACATCTTAAAAAAAAACAAGAGGCACAAACAGTTTCTTTAATTAAATATTTAAAAATGTTTTAACACTTGAGCAGAACAACGTAAGCGACAGCTATAGCCGCTTCCACCAAGATGAAGGTCAAGATACATCAGCTCAAAATCCCTGATGTGAAAAGTGACACAGAGGGCACAGAGGGAAAGAAGGAAGGCTGTTAGATGCTCAGAACTCTTGGCATGCCCTGCTAGCTAATTAAAGTCAGAAGCAACTCTCAGTACACTGAAACTTTCAGTACACTGAAAACCTTAGACACAAAACTGAAGCTAAGATTTATGAGCGCTCAATGGATGTGCAAAGATGAGTTAGCTGTCAGAACCAAACCCAATGCGTCAGGCCCGTGATGTCCTCAGAGTTAACAGTGATGTGAAACAGTATCTATTTCTGTTGAAAAGTCTGTTCCTCGTTTTTCCCGAATGACAGGCCATGCAGAGGGGCTGTCACAGAGCTGATGGAGGTTTTGTGAAATGCTGAGGTGCAAACCCATCAGTTCCAGATCTACAGACACCTAGAACTGTCTCTCTGCAGGACAAGAGGCACTGAACTATGTGCACCATTAGTCTAATGCAGCACAACAGTTCCTATTTATCTGTCACTTACTGTTCCTTTATGTATGATGTTGCCGAATCATGCAATAATTGTCCATGACACAAGTGCGTTATCTGTCATTTTCTCCACCCCACAATACATAAATGGGAAACAAAAGAACTTCAGAATGAAGAGAGACAAAAGTAACAATAGATTAGTTTTAAATATTGGACATCATTCATCATTCTCCATAAAAGCCATAGCCTACTTTACTGGAGTGATGCTTTTATTTGAGCACATGAATCAGGTTTTTCATGCACAAAGTTATGAATAGTCAGAATTTAGCACTGTCAAATCATAATTTAGAACTCTGCAGTATCACCAACATTATTCTCTGAAGACTACTGGAATATCAGAGAAAGTTCACGTCAGGATAGTGAAGCAGTTCTGAAAGGGCATTTCAGAATTTGCCTTCATTATGCCCGATCCCAGCCAGTTCTTCATTTTTCTAAGAACTGAAATGAACAAAACTCCCAACTTTCAAAAAGATAGGATTTTCTTTTCATCTCTGGAGAAAAATTATTTTTCCTTTCAAATATCCTGATTAACAATGCTAACATTAATTATGTGGAACTTAATTTATTTTCTCTAAGTTAGCTATCAGATTTTTGAATGGAACCATAGAATTGCTCAGATTAGAAAAGACCTTAAAGATCATCAA